TATATATATATATATATATATATATATATATATATATATATATATCCATGTAAATCTCCATGTAACACAAAATCTGAATATTGATGTTTTTTGTTTGTTTGTTATAAGTTTTAGCAAATTTGTTATGTGCTTTTGTCCTTTTTATTTTAAATTTTATATTCAGTTTTATATTTCTATTTAGTTTGAATTAATTTTTATTCCAGTTTTAGTAATTTTAGTACTTTAAAAAACATTTTATTTCAGTTAGTTGCCAAGGCAATATTTCAGATTTTTTTGTATTGTTTTAGTTCTCATTTTAGTTAATAATAAGAACACTGTGTGTCATGGGGTTTGATTCTCCAAAAATGTAATGATATTTATAAATTAATAATTCATGATAGTTGCAAATTTTTTTTTTAAATCTTGAAAATGTGTTTAAAATATTTTTGAAACTAATCATTAAGATGTGCACACACATGTGTATCAGGAAATATGTTATGACCTTTCACTTGATGGTTGCACATAACATTTTTTTTTTTTAATTTAACTTTTCTCGAAAATGGTATAAAAGCTTTTCAAAAGTAAAAGATGTGTAAAGGATTTTTCTCTTTTTTACTGTCAAGACTCTTATTTGACAATAACAAAAGTCAAAGCTATCAAAGCAGCCCTAAATGACTTATTAAAATAAGTTTGTCCATTAACAAAAGGACAATTTTGTGGCATTCACTATTGTAAGCAAACAACAGCATGTTTGAAACTATTAATGTGGCGGTAAGGCTATCTCTATGGATTAAGATAATTCAATAACATTTCCTCTCTAAGACTCCACAGCCTCCATGTGCATGTCACTGAAAGCTTCTCTTATCATCTCAGTGACCTTTAAAGGCAGTCTGGCCTTTTGTGGTTTTGTCATTTGGATATGTGTCTGATAGCTGCTCACCCTCTCTCTGGATCCACAGCGATGGCCCGTGGTTCGCTCAGATCAGTGCTGATCAGCACGCGTCTCCTGCTGCCATCCGCTGAAGCCACGGAGATGGTTCTGTCACCAGAGTCGGTCCAGTAGAGGTTGTGTTGGACCCAGTCCAGTGCCAGACCCTCAGGGGAATGCAGATCGGAGTCGATCAGAGTAACGTGTCGAGACGGGTCGCTCGCCTCGTGGATGTAAGCACTGCAGAGACATGCAGAAAATTAGAGGTTCTGCTACTAGACGCCGAGTCGAACAGTCAAATCACATGACTTCAGTTGTGATTGTTTTATACATAGTGATAGAATGAGGAAAAATCCTCTGCCCACAAACTGCTTTCATTGACATCTATTTTGTAAAACATGTAAAAGCCAAAAATGCTGTCAGTGAATGTAATATTCACAACTGTACATGTTTTTAATGCAATATTTGCATCTTGGTTGTCATTTCCATTAAGCATTTTTTTGCAGTATCCCCAAATTCACATACAAGTACTACCATTCAAAAATTGTTGCCAGTAAAATTGTTTTCAATGTTTTTGAAAGAAGTCTCTTATGCTCTCCGAAGATGCATTTATTTGATTAAAAAAATACAGTAAAATAGTAATATTGTAAAATATTATTATAATTTCAAATAACTGTTTTCTATTTTAATATATTTTAAAATATTATTTATTCCTGTGATGCAAAGCTGAATTTTCAGCATCATTACTCCAGTCTTCAGTGTCACATGATCTTTCAGAAATCATTCTAATATACTGGTTTGCTGCTCAAGAAAATGTTTTATTATTATCCATGTTGAAAACCTTTGCTGCTTAATATTTTTTGTGGAAACTGTGATACATTTTTTTTCCAGATTCCTTGATTAATAGAAAGTTTAAAAGAACAGCATATATTTGTAACATTATAAACGTTTTTACTGCCACTTTTCAATTTAATGCACCATTTCTGAATAAAAGTATAATTTTCTTTAAAAAAAACTTACTGACCCCAATGAATGGAATGTCAGTAACTGCTTTTTATGCTTTAAAATGTTTTTTATTTGCATTTTGGCATTTCCAAACACCCTTTTCTTTGGTGATATCCTGAAATTCACAAAAAATATGTCAATGGAAGGCCCACTAAAATAGCATACTATGTTTGGAAAACGTTTATTGTTGTGTTTTGCATATTGTTTCACATATTTTACATGTAATAAACATAGAAGACCTATATAATGTACAGTATGCAATAAACCTCTGGTCAGTTACTAACATAATCCTTTTGTCTGAAGCATGCTTTCTATTTCTCTGTTTTATTAAACAGCATTTATGTTGAGATTCTGGACAGTTTTAACTAAAATCCCTTTCTAATACTCAGTGCTTTTCTTTACAGATCTTCACATGATCTGAAGTGTTCATGAGTGCCACAGGTGTCCAAATGAATGAATGGCCCTGTAGGGCCTCAACTCACCCCTCAGCCTTCTATTATCAGCTTCAATATCATCCCAAACTAGTTCAAGCTCACAGCGGAGCAGTTACATCTAATGACTTTGAACTTTATCCTCACTTATAAGTCCAAAAGAGACAAATGATAGGCAGAGAGAGAGAGGGCAGGAGCAGACTTCTGCCATTTAATAAGATAGCACATCATTTTGGGCAGCCGCAGAGGTATCTATTATTAGGAAAGTGAATGTCCCCAATTAGCGAGATCACATGGAATGTGCAATCAGGAGGAAAGGGAGATGAACCGTGGAAAAATGAGTCAAGAGGTTCTTTGCGAGTTTTAAATGAATTTGTAACAGGGCCAGACCTTCATATGGCAAGAGTCAAGACCTTTCCTGTATTACATTACACAGTGTGCTTGATCTACTGTCTACACAGGGCACTTTGAAGGAAGAATCAATCAGTCGTTACAAACTTTTTAATAACATTTTTAACCCCATGGTATTTTGCTGTTTTTATCATTGCTGCTGTCATTATGCTAAAAATCCTTTTTTTTTTTTTGATAATGGAGTTTTACAAAAGTGTTGATGTTGATGTTGCTACATATGATGTTGCTAAAAAGAACATTATTTTGTGTATTTGGTGTAATGAAATGTGTTTATGTGGTTTAAGGTTAAAAAAACACATTATTTTCCACATACTGTACATTATTGTTTCTCCTCTATGCCCCGCCTTTCTGAAACGCGTCGATTTTTACAAAGCTCATCAGTCTGAAAAGCGAGGTGTGCTGGGATTGGCCAGCTATCCAGTGCGTTGTGATTGGCCGAATACCTCAAGCGTGTGACGGAAATGTTACGCCCCTTGCCATACTGTGATGCCCTGGCCGACCGGAGCGACGAGACAAAAACATTAAAACCCATTATAAACGAGGCATTTGTTGCATCCAGTGGGGACATAATTACGGATTATAATGACTTAGGGTGCTTTCACACCTGGCCTGTTGTTTTGGAACCTGGCGCGTTTCCCCTCTTAGCTCGGTTCGTTTGGGCATATGCGAACACGGCAATCGCACTCCGATCCGTGCCAAAACAATCGGTCCGAGATCGCCTGAACGAGGTGGTCTTGGCGCGATTGAAAATGAACTCTGGAGTGGTACGGTTGTAGTGAGAAAGCAATCCGATCCAACGGACCAACGAACCAGGCTATATCACAATTTATGATGGGTAATTACGTAAGTTCCGTGAAAAGCATCAGCTTTGTTGTTTTGCTAATACCTCAAAATTAACCTGTGAATGTCTGTGGGTGAGCACGTCTTTGCCATTCAAAAATCAAAGAGCACTTTATTTTATAATGCCGTCTTATTGCTCTTCTTTGTAGGTGCATTTTAAAAATGTTTTCCCAATCAATCCTGGACTCCTGCTCAAAATTGATAAATTATTATAACGACAGCTACAAAAAAAAAACAACAACAACAATAAGCCCGCGAAGCTGTTATCGTTCCATCCTGATGGATGACATGCGTGACAGCTCAGTGGAATCCCAGAAAATAAACTGTGGAACTTTGACCAATGAGAGAACAGTTTACTCGCACGTGGACTTGTATTAACAAATTTGGTCCGTTTAGAAACTTTGCCGTGTGAAAGCGAACCGCTCCAAGAATAAAAAGCAACATTGTAATAATCTGAATCCCTGTTTGGAAACAAAGCAATCGATCTACAGGTGTGAAAGCACCGTCATACTGTCTTTTTACACGTTGCATCGCGCCACGTAACTATAAAACTATGTCTGCAAATATCGATGAGATATGCTACTCTACACTGCTCAAAACTCTCGTTTGAATCATCAGTGGCAAATTCTTTAAATATGAAAACGTACTTACAGTCTGTGAGTCAGAACAGCCGGCATTGTAGTCTACTCTCCCAGGATCAGGAAACAGTCCTCCATAAAATGTGCTGCACACATCTGAATATTTGGGTTGAACTGTTCTGGAACAGTGTTGTAAATACAACTTAACCACTGATTTCTAGTCGTGTCCTCTTTTGGAAGGCCAAACAAAATAGTTTCGCTTTCACAACGAAACACACGGCATACTACAGCGAGAATAAAAGTTGCGCCTTCTTTCTTTGCGTGAACATTTGGGCGGTGTTATGCAAATCTTCCCACATCGTGATGTAGATATGTGGGGGCGTGTTAGAACGAGCCGTTTTAGGGGGGCGTGGCAGAGTCTTAACTTTTATAAAGAATATCTCTTTGGATTTGAGACTTTAGTCTTTGCAACTTTACAGACCTTCTTTATGCACCAAGAGCTTGTAACGCTCCAAAGAGAAAGGAAACATTGAAATCGCATCATATGACCCCTTTAATTCACAAATAACAGACAAGTTAATTGACAAAAATAATGGTAGCACTTTATTTTACATTCATGTTTCGTGTGTACAAACTATGTACTTATTATAGTGATTACAATAACTGGGTAATAACTAGGTATTTAGTTAACCCTGAACCTACCCCTAAACCTTACCTTAACCCATGTAGTTACTGATGTTTCATTCATTAAAAGTGCATCATGTTACATTTATTTATGTTTATACTTTTTGTCAGTTTTTATTTATTTTTATTTTTTTGCAACAATTGATCAGTTTCAGGGAGTTTTGCAAGAATTTGTACATTAACATGAATTGTCTGCAAGTTGTTTTTTTTTTGTGAAGAAATTAATACTTTTGTTCACAAATGATGCATCCAATTTATCCAAAGTGCCAGATAAGACGTTTATAATGTACAAAAGATTTCTATTTCAAATAAATGCTGTTCTTTTGAATGTTTGATCACAGTTTACACACAATCAGACAAATAAGCAGCAAAACCTGGTAATAAGAAATGTTTCTTGAGCAGCAAATCGGCATATTAGAATGATTTCTGAAGGCTCATGTCACACTGAAGACTGGAGTAATGATGCTGAAAATTCAGCTTTGATCACAGGAATCAAATTACATTTTAAAATATATTAAAATATAAAACTGTTTTTAATAATTTTAAATTGTAATAATGTTTCACAATAATCAAATAAATGCATAAGAGACTTCTTAAAAAAATAAAATAAAAAATCTTACTGACCTCAAACGTTTGAGCAGTAGTGTGTACATACATACAGTGCATATTCCCAAGAAACATAAGCATGATCACTTCTGATTGGAACACCTACATAATCTCTGTTTCAGTAATATGGCAATTAAAATGTTTCGTAAGTGCTGTTTTTCTGCCTCTCTGCATCTCGTTTGAATTAATTTCACTAGAGAGAGTGTTATCTTGAGAGTAACGGTCTGAGTGTGTGAGGGAGGGATATGTAAATAAATTGAGTCATATCTCCTGAGTTTAAAATAATTAACACATCACAAGCATGTGAAGCAGCACTTTGCTGTTAAATGAGTCCTGGCTCTCCTTTTAAGTGCTCAGCTAAACCGCTTCCATATTTACAGCATAATAACCAAAAGGTCAAGATGAGGTCACCTGTATATTTTGTGCTGGAAACGGTCACACCAGTACATGCGGTTGGCAACAACGTCGATATCAATGGCCACTGCGTTCTTCTGAGTAGGAACCACCTGTGTGTAGTCCCTCTTCACCAGGTCAATGCGTCTGATCTCGTGCCTGTTTGTGAACATCAGGTAAGGGCTTTTTCCTAAAACAAGCACAAAGACAAGTGATCCCAGAGAGTTCAGAGATGACTCTATCTCGAAACAAAGAAAAGCTTTCTGTCCATGAACTCTTCTCTCAGAGAAACTAAACTTGTGTTTATAGTCATGAACTATGGTAACTATGGTATATACACATAGAAGATACATCATTTTAAAATATAATATTTCTTTAAATAAAATATCATTTATTACAAAAAAAGAAAGAAAATTAATTAAAGATCAAGCAGCACAGAATCATTAACCCATATGTTTTCAGAATCATTAGGATACATAAAAATTAAGTTAACATTTAATGATCCTTGACAGTGCACCAGAATATTTTATTAAATGTTAAAATTATATACATACATCTATCTGTCTACTGTACTGTAAATATTTTACATGTATTAATAATATCGATGTTGTTTAACTTAATATTTATGTAAATATTTAAAACGTAATATTTCATAGCATAACTATATAATTTATATAGAACTATATAAAATATTTTTTTAAAATAAAATATCATTTATAACAAAAAATAATACACTGATTCAAAAATGATAAGATTGTGAATCAGATTACACAAGTGGCTCTGTTTATTTTGTGTTTTGTTTGCGAAAGTGTTGTAGCAAAATATCTGCTGGTGTATTTGACCCCCTTTGCCTGTTTGACACTGATTTTTAGATTGCCCTCTAAACTTGGTTTTGCTTGGCTTGTAAATATTGTAAATACAAAAAATTGGGATAGTAAGGAGCCTGACACCATTTCGGTTTGTAAAACCTTCTGATCTAATTTTTTTTGGGCTGTACTTTCTTTTCTTTTCTTTTGGTTAGGTAAGGTTTAAAAACTAAGAACATTTTGTTTGTTGTTTTGGCCTTGTCGGCTCCCGAACTCAAACTCCCAATAAACTCGTTGTTGGTACTTGGGTTTAAGTCAGGGCTCTGGCTGGGCCATTCAAGAACAGTCACAGAGTTGTTGTGAAGCCACTCCTTCGTTATTTTAGCTGTGTGCTTAGGGTCATTGTCTTGTTGGAAGGTAAACCTTCGGCCCAGTCTGAGGTCCTGAGCACTCTTGAGAAGGTTTTCGTCCAGGATATCCCTGTACTTGGCCGCATTCATCTTTCCCTCGATTGCAACCAGTCGTCCTGTCCCTGCAGCTGAAAAAGAGCCAGAGCCCTGACTTAAACCCAATTGAGCATCTCTGGAGAGACCTAAAAATGGCTGTCCACCAACGTTTACCATCCAACCTGACAGAACTGGAGAGGATCTGCAAGGAGGAATGGCAGAGGATCCCCAAATCCAGGTGTGAAAAACTTGTTGCATCTTTCCCAAAAAGACTCATGGCTGTATTAGAGCAAAAGGGTGCTTCTACTAAATACTGAGCAAAGGGTCTGAATACTTAGGACCATGTGATATTTCAGTTTTTCTATTTTAATAAATCCGCTTAATTATAAGTCTCATATCTTGACATTATTTATTTAAGATCTGTACAGTATCTTACTATCTTACTGATATTACAATAAATATAGTTAAATCAAATTTGTCATATTACACATTCATCTGATCAGATATTCGATCGCATGGCTGTTTAAGAAATAAATACTGTATATATATTTTTTCTTCTTATTGTTGTTGTTATTGTTATTTATAAGTGGTCTTTGTCTGCTTTAAGTAAAGTAACAAGTTAACGATGGCAAGATATGAGACTTATAATGCACTATAACTATAGGAAATATAATCCATTGTAAGTTAAGTGGATGCATTGTGTTCATTGTGTATTATGAATCATCATAATCTTAAAAGCAATAACCACAAATAAGTAAATATTATAATGCATTTAAACTGTTGTTATGATTACTCATGAGAGGATACAACATATTATAAGGTTTTTTATATTTTTATGACACTTTTTAGAACAGACTTGTTTTGTTTTATGATCCTCTAATGCAGTTTTACAAATGTACCATCCTTTTATAACATATAAATGATGAAATGCATATAGGACCCAGAGGGAAATCTGAAAACTTGCAAACAGGCATGAGAAAAAGGCATTTGAAGACACTGTATCTAATTTGACATGCAAAGAAGAAATTTACATAGAAGACTTGAAGGCACAATGCAAGGGTGAGAAATATAGTCTGTTATATTGTACTGATAAGGTTAAAAGTGGGCACCAAGGGAGAAAATATATATATATATATATATATATATAAAATGTATTTATTTATTTTGTGTCCATGCAAGTCCTTTAATGTTGCGGTTCTTCGTAACAAATATGTGTGTGTATATATATATATATATATATATATATGGAAACCATAATGACTTTTTTTTTATTTTTATAAAGAGAAAATAGTGTTTTTGGAATTAGAATTATTTTCTAACAATGTAAAGTTTCACTGTTATGTTCGATCAATCTATTGCATTTATATGAATGTATGTATGTATGTACACTGTAAAAAATGACCGTGAATTTAACGGTAAAATGCTACAGTAAAAGCCTGTTAAATGGTTAACGGTAAATTCCCCTACTATATACGGTGAAAAACTGTATTGGACATTACATGTATTGGACATCAATTTTACGGTAGTATACCGTTTTTGGAAGTGAAAAATACCGTATAATTTACAATGAATAACCGTAAATTGACATTCCCAGAATTCCCTGCGTTACATTTAAAATTGTATGTCTT